CCTCCTTCCTCCTTCCCACGGACTTCAAGGCATGATGGCCTGATACAGTAACCATGGAACAGTACTGTGTGCCAACTGGATGCAGCTAACTGCCTGTATGACCCGCTGTGTCTTTACATCTCATGGTGACACAACATGCATTAATGAAGAAATATTTATTTTGTATTAAGGAGGAAATCCTTGCTGACCTGAAGAGAAAATTGGATAAAAATAACCGTAGCTACTGTGTGATTCCTCTTATATGAAGCATCAAAAATAGTCAAACTCATAGAAATAGACAATAGAATTGTGGTTACCAGGGGTGGGTAAAGGGGAGATGGAGCATTGTTCAATGGATATAAAGTTACAGTTATACATGGTAATTTAAGTTCCAGAGCTCTGATGTACAACATAATGCCTATAGTTAACAGTAAGGTATTGTGCACTTAACCATGCATAAAACAAACAGCACCAGAAGCTTTTGGAGGTGATAGAAGTTTATTACCCTATGGTGATGGTAACATGAACCCAAACATGTCCAAACTCACCAAATTGTATACATTAATTATGTGTGTGTTTTCATACCAATTATACCTCTATAAAGCTGGAAAAAGTAATTTAAAAATAATTAAAAATATAAATAATCTTTATCCAAATTTTCTTCAACAGCATCTGCAGAAACTGAAATGAAGGGTGAGGGAGAGCTCTTTAAAAGAGATTATTTGAGTCATCTGCCTGTTCTAGCAATGCCTCTTTTTCAAATATTTCCCATTTGAAAGAAGTAAAGTATCTCTTGCCCAATACTTTCATGAAACTTATGGCTGTTTTCACTAGGTAAAGGAACTTTATATAATGTTCTTCTATTACTCCTTTCCCTCAGACCATGCTGTCGATGTCCCATGGACTGGGGTGTCTTCACCACTGAGTGGCATCGGCAGCCTGTATATCACATTGTCACACCCGTGCACACTCTAACAAATCATTCTTCATTTTATATTAATGATAGTGTGTATTTTAATGGCTAGTAACTTCCAAGTCTTTCAGTGTAAACTCACTGTTTGAATGTTAGCGGTATTTTGATTCACAGAAAATGATCTTCCACTGGAACAAAACTTTTTGCAACTTATATTCTTTTATTTTCTGATAACTTTATATAGAGGAGTATTATGCTCAAAATTAGACTGTAATATTCCTTTGGTAAGGGTCACTTTTTTTGTTTCACATTATTTAATATGAGGCTGAGCACATAAAGACTATATTAGATCTTTATTATGGGGTCTAACTCATTATATAATCCATTCATTACATATACAACCAAGAATATATTCAGAGATCCTTGATTCCCCAGTACTGTGGAACATGTTTTCTTGTTTTCCTTTCTTTCCCCTTTTGATTAAAAACTTCAAAAATAAATTTAGGTGCATGTATAGTGGGGTACATATACTAAAATGCACAAATCTCAGTGTACATACAGTTCAATACATTTTGATATATGTATACACATGTGACCATCACCTGGATCAAGATGTCAAAGATATCAAGACATCAAATGTTCTTGTTTTTAAATAGATCAGATTTTTAGCTTTTTTCTGCTTCATATATGAATAATATGATGAATGCTATGGATTGTCTTCCCTCCCAAAAAGCACATAGATCTGTGGGACTTTTTCCTAAATCTCTACTCCAACTTTCATTTTGACTAGAGCCATCATTGCCTTCAACTTATGTAACTGTTTAACATCAGAACAACTAACAAGATTACTGCCCAGAACTGGACAACTTTTTCAGTCACAAGTAACACTCACCTCAAACCTCTTAAGGCATAAAGGTAATTTATTTGCACATATGACTGGGAAGTCAGAGTGAATCTATCATCATAGTTAAATCCAGGGGTTCAAACTCTCTCTCTCTCTTTCTCTCAATCTCTGCCATCTCTGTCTCTTTTCCCCTCTGCCTCTCTGTCTCTCCCTCTCTCTTTCCCAAATGGCAGAAAGATGCCAGCAGGAACTCCAAACCTGTATTCTTCAGTCTGATCTTTCAAAGAGAAAACAGAAGAGAGAGTTTCTCTCCACATGTACACATAGCAGGATGGAGGTTCAAATGCTAGGTTAGTCTGCTAGGCTCATTCACTAGCTAAGTGACTGCCTGGCATCACCTTTCCAGTATGGGATTCAAAAGAGTTTCTAGGAAAAATTCTGAATTGCTTTGTAGGTAGGATTCATTTGGGGTACAGGCCAATTTTGAATGTTAAGTCTACTGAAGACAGGGGCTTACTGCAAATTAATAGTTGTCAATTAATGATTTATATTGATCAGTTTGGGACATCAAGAAGGGGAGAAAGAAATACTTCAGGACCTTGTGCAACAGTAAAAAGGAAGGAAGCAGTTAGCGCGGGAGTCTCCAGTGTCTGCCAACATTCGTTCTTCGGGAGAGCCTAGTCTCCCCCTTTCTCTCATCCCTGCTCCGAGGAGATGGCCCACAGCTCCTGCTTGGCTCTGTCCCGGTAGTACGCCTCCTGGATACAGGAGTCTCCTGTACGGGCACAGGAAACCACAAGGCCATGGAGAACACTGCCTCTAGGTTAGGTGTGTACATGTGGAGAGAGACCCTCTCTCTTCTGTTTTCCCTTTGAAAGATCAGACTGAAGAATATAGGCTTGGAGCTCCTGCTGGCATCTTTCTGCCATTTGGGAAAGAGAGAGGGAGAGACAGAGAGGCAGAGGGGGAAAGAGACAGAGATGGCAGAGATTGAGAGAAAGAGAGAGAGAAAAACTATATTGTTTGAATTTGAACCCCTGGATTTAACTATGATGATAGATTCACTCTGACTTCCCAGTCATATGTGCAAATAAATTACCTTATGCCTTAAGAAGTTTGAGCTGAGTGTTACCTGTGACTGAAAAAGTTTTAAGCAATACCTGGTTTGAATTCGTGCTCTGATTCAGCTGTGGTTTAGTGGGACAGGCTGGTAAAGCAGCTTCCAAAGTTCTTGAGTCAGAGAATTGGGTCTGTTGAGATTTGTGTTTTCCTTTATGCCTTTACTGTAAAAGTCTCAGAGCCTATCAATTTGACGTACAGCCACCTGGTTATTTCTTACCAGCTTGTTTTTCTCTATTTACAGTGAATCCTCCCTCTTATGCCACCACCTCATATTAGGTTTCAGGTATAAAATGCATACATCATATCTTCAGACCCTCTTCTTAATCAAAATTTATAACTGATGCTGCACTTTTATATGGTATGTTTATGAATTTTTAGGAAGTATGCTGAGTTGCACAGACTGCCATGCAGAATCCATTTTTGTTTCCCAGTACTGTGAAGTGATTTTGATAGTTAATTTTCTATGGCAAAAATGTTTAAAAATACCATGAGCCTTCTAATTGACCACATGAATGATCAAAACTTTTTTTACAGTTTAAGAGTCCTTAGTATGACCTATAGTTATTTAATTTTTTATTTGATTCAGTGGTGAGAAGGAGACTCAAAAATCTTTTATTGGAATGGGAACTCTTTTACAATTTCTTATAAACGCTTTCCCAGACATTTATAAATGATGATTGTTCTGTTTATATAAGGTACTCTAGGCTCAGATAAAATTATATTTGCCAGGAAAAAATATATAAAGTATATTTAAATGTAGCAATCAAGCAAAAGAACATATAAAGTTCATAAAATTCCCTTGACTATTCCCCCTTTATTTTCAAAGAATATATCCTTGCTGTTTAATGTTTTCATTAGAGAATAAAAATTAAATGAATGAATGTTGTCATCAACTTGAAAGTTGTGGTTGGTTATCATCACTGAAGCAGGACTGGATTTTCCCTCAGTCCATCCTTCCTTCCTCAGGACATGTAACTTAAAGGATAAAATTCATTCTCTCCACTTAAATCTCTTGGTTATGCCCAGAGCGTGGCTGTGAATTGCACATAAAACCCTGCATGTCCATTTCTAAAATCATATGAGCTCGGCCATTCTAAGAGTTCTGGACAACTCATAGAGGGCAGAGACCATAGTACAAGCACAGGTATTATCTATGTATTGCTTTGATGGATTTTGTTGGAGGAGGGGAGCACCTTTCTGACTGTTAGAGATCTTAAACCCCAACTCATTGTGATTAAAAGAATCAATCACTGGCATAGAAAGAAGCACTCCTAATTTTGGAATATCCTAAAGCAAATGGCTGTTGTCTCAAACATAGAGATTAAGTGGTGGACCAACTAAGATTCCTTAATGACAAACAACAGAAACTAACTCTGGATAACTTCAGTAGAAATGGAAATTTAGTGGCTCACATAATAAGAAAGTTCAAAGGGCAAACTGGCTTATGCATGGCTGAATCCAGTGGATTGCATTATGTCAACAGTACTCATTCTTTATCTCATAATTTTTTTCCTGTATTAGTTACATTTTCAGTAACATGGTCTCTGTATGGAATCAGAAACGGTCACTGGTAGTTGAAGACTGTATTCTTTGGCTTGCATAATTTCAGAGAAAAAGAGAATTCTTCGATTATTTGAGCAAAATCTCTGGAGAGGACTTGATTAGCATGATTTGGGTCTGGTGGATATCCTTGACCCAGTTCTGATGACCAGGGTACTCTGATCAGTTAGGCTGGGTTATGCACCCATCTCTGTGGTGACAGGAAGGTGCAGTGATGGATCGCTCCAAAGGGTTTGGGACAGAGATCCATAAAACAAAGAAAGAAAGGAAGAAAAGGAAAAGATGAATTTATGCCTTACTGGTGATCATAATGACTTTCAACAGGAAAAAGGCCATGCAAAGGGTCTAACAAGCTGTGACCCATATTTGTATTTAGGTCTACTTTGTGTCCCAAGCAGAGATAAAAAACATGTGTCTGAAAAAAAGAAAAAAGAGGAAGGAGATACAAGGGGAAAAGCTTACTAATAAGCCTCTGCCAATTATCTGATTCATCCAGGTATTTACTGCTATTTCTGATTGCTTCAACTAAGACATTTCTAAGATGGGCGTTTTTTTTCAGTTTCTGTCATTTTTGCTTTTTAGGTGGACAAAAAAATTGTCAGAACTGAGATAGGAGTTCTTCTTCGCCTCTCACACCCAAACATTGTAAGTAGTTTTTAACCTACTATTTCAAATAGTCTACAAAGTTACGAATGAGATTTTTGTTCTTTACTGTCCATACTGATAATGAGAAGGGGATTCTTCCACTACCATGGCCCAGCTCTTGTCCTCATCTGATCACATTTTTCAGTAATCTTAAAGATAACACCCTTTGAAAGAGTTTCAAAGTGGACAGATCAGCAGTATATAC